ACTAAGCAATCTAGGGCGCTAGTACCTCTTGATAAGATTAATATGAAATTGCTGGAAGAGTAAGCAAAAACCATTTAATGAAAACCAGAAGGACACTCACAATTACTATTACATGTACATATATACTCAAATGCAAAAAGCACATCTGAAGAAAAAAAGATTCCTGAGTGGGCAAAGAAAATCCCCCTCCCTTTCAGCCTTCTATCTCTTATAATAAAAAGATCATTTTTCCTTAGTATATTTAGTTTTTTACTCTAAGATTCTGATCAGAAAAAGAAATAATCAATTCAACAAAGTCCATTAGCTGACCATTACTTGAAATCCTAATTCATAGTGTGTATAATACTGTTTCAAAGCCTTGTCAAAATATAACAAAAAAAGCAAATAACTGAGAAATTATCCAGTAGCACAAACTATAAAATGGGGAAGGGGTCTTAAAATATTTTTTTGAATTCATTTATAATTTAGTTCAGTGAAATCAAGAATAAATCCACTCACTGATTTAATCAATCCTACATTTAGATTTCCAGAAAACCCCTGACCTGCCCTATCACTCTTAACCATCTGTCAAAGGGGCAAAAAAGCACTAGTCCTCAAAAAGGTACCACCATTAAAAAGTCTTTAATCTACGAAAAGCATTACAAATAACTTGTAAAAATAAATTTAGCTTAAAAAGCCTCATATGTTAAAATAAACATACCAACATTACACTTCAATTTCAAGTAGGTAGGAACACATTCAGAATAATGTATTCTAATAACCATAATGCTAGGTACCTTCAAGATGAAGCTAAAACAATATCCCCCCCAAACTATATGAACCACAAGTGATAAAAACAGAAAGCATAACCCCAAAGAAAACCTGCATGGATACTGCAGGGCTTTCACTTGACCAGGCTAGTGGATGATAAAAATGAAACATTAAAATAAAATTTAAAAAACCTTATACATGTGGATCTCACTTTACATAATAGGGTATGTTCCTGAAAAGTGTTTATATAAATTGAACCTAATTTCAAATGTAGCTGGGAAGCCTCTTGAACTAAAATGAATAATTTATTTAAGAACAATTGATCATTCTCATTTTATTTGTTTCAAGTAAATCAAATGTTTAGCAATTTGGTATTTCCAAAGCAGAAAATCTGTGGTAAAATTTCTCACTTAAATGAATAATCTTGTCAGAAAATGATGATCTCTTAAAATAGTTTTACAGAAAGAGTTTTATATGTATAGATATATGTGTACGTTTGCATGTACATACACACACCAACATACAAAATTATATATCACAAATGAACACACTTCTCCCTACATGTACAGTTGCTGAGAAACAGTAGCTGTAGTTCTTAATAGGCAGTTCAAGAGATCAAGAAAATATTGGATGTATTCCATGATTCTCTCCCTAGCCAAGTATACCATGTACAGTAGCCCCAAACTATTTTTAGTTGTTGTGTACAAATTATGTGAAAAACTAACAAAAGCAGAAAGGGGGTAAAAAACACAAACAAAAACCCTGAATCATGGTATAAGAATTAATAATAAAACATTTTTCTATTTAAAATTCATTTGGTGAACTCAACACATTGCCCTTGATTATACAACAGCTTAAAAGACCTTCCAAACATTTGTCTACCAATCTTGAATCAACTTCACCACTCATATTAATTGACTCTTACATAATATTAGCCAAAAGGTGATGTCAAGTGAGTACAAGCCCAATGGGTCATATGTAAATATGTGTGTATGTGTGTGTGTACACATAAGAAGCCTGAATATCTTAAATTTTAGTTATATTTCCCAGTTGAATACGGACATGTAGAATAATAAAATATAATTTTTTTATCAACAGTTTTAGAAAAGGTAGGGACAAGAGAGCACAAAAACAAAACATAATTGGTAGCTATGTACGTGTACAAAATATCTAAAATTAGTTTGTTCCCCTGACAGCATAATTGGATGGCATGTACTACTAACACAGCAGCAAAGGTGCAAAGATTGAAATTTAAACCCCTAATTAAGCAATGGTTTGACAGTTCTAATGTCCTGTACCTGCTTGACACCATGACTCAGTAGGTGATCTCAAATGAAGATTAATACTGCATATAGCATAATCTTAGTTATAAGTAGCAACGGATCATGTTTAGAAAATGAAATCCTCAAGTGTTCAAAATTCATTAGCACCCACAAATAAACAACTTCTAAACAGTTTTATTCATTCAAGGAAGAGCAATTTGTAATAATAATGTTAAAAAAAGGTTGCTGTGGATGTCCCTTACAACATCTTGATTACTGTCATCTGATCACAGCACAACTCTAACACATACAGTTGCCATGTCAGCCTCTCTTCAGGAGCTAGGTCTTAACCATAAATCAACAAAATGACTAATTCAACATTGTTAAAATCAGTGAGTAGATGCCTGGAGCCATTTCAGTTATTACATCTTTCAGAAGGTCAATACACCCGACATTCAATAACACTATGTATCTTTCAAAATATTTCCTTCTTTTCTATGGTTGAAAAATAACATGTTACCATTTAAGTTTAAAGTGAACTTTAATTAGTAATTAAAATGTTTGTTATTTCTGAAATGGTGACCCACTAAATAAAGATAGTTTTAGTCTTTCCCTTGTGGCCAAAATCACAAGCTGCTCTTCCTCTTTTCTGACCATTTAAAATAGTTTTCTAGATCTATGAGCCATTGAAAGTATTTATTACTTCTTCCTGCATCAGTCTTAACTTGCTACAGTAACATTACATGCTAACCTTAAAAAACAAAAACTTTTTCTTTTGGGAAAGGAGCAACTAGTACAAATGGAACTTAGATTTAAAACATCACATACTCCCCTCCCCCCCAAAAAAAGGCTTACACAAATTAAAAAGATTTAGTAGTTAAATGTATTTGAACATTTACATCTGCTTGCAGTGTTACAAATGATAAAACCTAGTGTTCACATCTTTCATAATAAAAATTTATCCTGTACTTTAATACAAAGGCTATGTTGCATAAACAGAGGATTTAAAGCTGTAGCAGAGTGGCTGAATGAAAGGAAAATGGCAATCTTTCTGGCTCCAGTAGATGCCATTCCCTATCACACAATGTTTCCCACTCATAAATACATGACAAATACTTCCTCAATCATTTTTTACGAGCAGGGATGCACAGGGGGTAGTCAATGGCTAGCTTGAGGGAAAATAGGAACAGCAGGTGGCAGAAACTGTACAGAAAATGGCTATGTGGTAAATTCTCTTCTGGAACATCACTCAGTTACCCAGTCTTTGATCTTTCAGCTACAATTACACTAACTTCCACAAGATCTGGATAACCTCCCCCCACCAAAAAAAAAAAAAACATACACACACATATATACCAACCCCAAAACAGATCATAAGTTACATACAAAATCTACTAAAATTTGGTTTTATAAAATGGGATCAGATCATAACTCTATACTTTTATACATTAAAATTTGCTATTTAGACAAGAGTTTACTTTCAATTGGCTATAACCATATCATCATCACAACTGGTCTCACAAAAAACATGGGGTGTCTGGCGACGGCTAAATCACAGACTGGCGTCTCCCAAGCAGTCTGTCTACCATTAGGGCCTGGGAAATGGTATTTACTATACAATTAGAGCCAGGGAGTTCTACCTGTAATCATCCAAATACAGGTGTGAGAAGCCCCTTTGGGCAAGGAAACTGACTCATCCCTTTTCATGTAAACTTTGATGTCTGTATTGTTTCACGGAGCCTTACGAAACCTCACCATTCATACTATGATGAGATTTATTAACTGAGGTCAAGTAGTAAAATTTTAAATTCCTTCCCAAAGGTAACAATTTTTAACACTTTAATCATCAAATTTATAAAAATTTGAAACAAGACAGAACTGATTGTTTTAAAGTTAATTACCTGCTGGAGGACACTGACCAGTCTGAACTAAATTTTTATGTTAAGTTTATGCTTTCTAGAACATTACCAATAAAGAGGCAAAATTCAGCTTCTCATCAGGAACACAAAATGTCTTATAGTCATATCAACAGGGCAGTTTTAGTTGCAGTAATTTCACAGAATTTATTCTAATGATTTATTGGAGTTAACCATCTGACATTAATTATTGTTTTGGCTTCCAGTCTATGAATGTTTATTTTTCAGTTTAAAGCCTTCTCACTCTTTGATATCATATGGAAATGAGAATTTTTAATGGAAAATTGAAACCATGTGCATCTAAGTACTTAATGAAGTACAGGGAGAAACCAACAACGTATTTTAGGAGAATTCAGATATTCTGCTTTGGATAGTTTTGATTTGTTTGGATGACTTAATAGTATGAAATACTGAGGGTCCAGTGATGCAAGCTAAAGTGAGTACTATGCCAAATGTGTACATGCCCACACATACATGAATATATGATTTTTTGAAGTTATTAACAAAAGAAAGCAAACCTTGTACACTGTGGTTACATGTCAAAAATGACAATCAATACATGAATGCACAGTTATCTCCTTTGCACATTTTTAAAGTATTTGAAACAGATACCTAGCCTTTTTTCTTCATAGCTTTTTTTTTTTTTTTTTTAAATAGCATTCAATCTGGATTTTAAAATTTATGCCCAGGTAAAAGCAAGCAGATACTTTAAAATCACATGTAATATAAACACAGCTAGAAATTTCTAGCTTAAAAAGTTTTACTGCTCCAACTAGGCTTATTCTCATTTTGCAACGGAAACGAACATTAATGTCTAATAGATTTAAATTTGAAAAGTGAATATGTATGATTCAATATTACCTAACTTAATTAAGCTTTTTTTAAAATTCTCTCAATGTAAATCAATTAGGAGATTCATCTCTGAATGTAAACACCAGGCAGTTTCCTCATCCCTTTTAAACTTTTTAATCATATGGAGAAAAATGTTAAAATCAAACAGCATTAAGTATGTACATGTGTATGTGTGTATAGATATGATGTGTCTGGGTACATATGGGGAGGAAAAACTTACCACTTGTTTTTCTTTCTAATGTAGTCTTTTTCAGAAAGATTAACTAAGTAGACCATTGGTTTTGAAGTCAGAAATAAATGTTTATTCAACACTTCAATCTAAAGTGGGAGACAGAAGACAGAATCCTTTTTAAAAGTTGAGTAAATTGTTGAGTAATTTGAGAGTAAACTTTTTAAATCAAGTAGACATTTCATAATTCTCGTTTTTAAGAAGGTTAGTTGTTATTAAATATCAGGAGTAGGGGAGAAAAGGGAAAAAAAAACAAGCCTGGGAATAAGCAATCATTGACAGAAATAAAGTTTAACTAGATAGAATGTTAAGTGTAAAATAATGACAACTCTAATTTGTTCTCTAAGAAATCAAAGGCAATAATAGATGGCACGATATTTGTAACCTACCTCTTTGTCATTCCAATCAAGATAGAAGCGAACAGGTTTCTTTTGATCTACAACCCAGGATTTGACTTTGCACATTATGTCCTACACGATTGAGAAAAAAATAAACACAAGATGACAAACATTAAGCATTTAAATACTAAAATTAAAAGTTTTCAAATCCTCAAAATACACAAAGTCAATATTTTTAATGAAAAGGGAACTAAGTCACACAGATTATTTTCAATATCTCATTAAAAAGCAAATATCAATGAAACATTATTGTGGCATTAAAATTTTAATAAATAAAACGTGGATACTAGCAAAATTAGTAAGGCTCTTAAAAATCTGAAGATAATTTAATCACACCAAAGACTAAATACAAGAGTTAATAATATTTCAATGTTACCTAGTTAGTGATGCCACATTTAAGATAAATGTGCTATTAGGAAATGGGGAGAGAGATAGTGGAGAGAGACTGAATTACTTTTTTTCCTTAAAAAGAAAAACAAACTAGATGAAATTGAGCCTATTATTGATGATCTATGCTTCAAAATATTAAATCAAAGGGCCTAAACCCTTTTACTCTAAATTAATTTTTTGCCAACACCTTCTCCCTGCCTACTTCTACCGATCCCCCCTCAACCTGCCAAAGCCTCCATTACACAATGGCAAGAGCCCTGCACTGGTGACCTCCAACCAGCTGCATTCACTTTCAGAACATCTCTCTCTGCTGGAAATCTAAAGGCCTTTTAGTTAGCAAGCTAGTGTGCATTCAGAAGGAGTAACTGCAGGAAGAGCCCAATGTGCTTTGTTTCTCTGGCCTTTCTTCACAGAAAGATTAATCATCTGTGAAATGGAAACGGCAAACAGTAAGTGACACAAACTGAACCCTTCAAGCCTTTCCTCATCAGTTTTGTGGTTCTGAATCTAAAAGCTGCCTGTGGCAAGGTTCTCCTTACAAGCAGGTGTTAATAAAAGGCTCTGGGGTCTGAAAGGTCAAACAGCTCATCCAGAAGAAGTGCATTTGAGAGTCATCTGTTTTTTTGTTAAAGATAATTTATGGATATGTTTTAAATATGCATTTCTCAAAATTTACTGCAACACACAATTAGTGATTTCTTAGATTTTCATCATAGTTTCCTTTACCATAAATCAGTTATCCTTCTATAAATATCCACTTGTATTAATTACCTCAATATTTAGTATACCTTCCTTCCAAATCTTGCTGTTACCAACAGGAAAAATAAGGAAAAGCCCTATATCCTTAGATCCTGATTTGAAACCCTCTAGGAAAAGGACTTCCCACAGATTTTAACAAGGAAGGGGCAAGCTGAAAACTTTTAATGAAATCTAACATATTCTGCTTAAGAATAATCACTTTTACTCTTCTATAACTGAATTTCACTCATCAATGTTTAAAAGTGGCTAATGTAACACCATTTCCTACAAGGAGAAGATCAAAGTGCTATATTACAAATGGATTATGATTAAAAAAGCCCTGTGCAGCCTTGCTATTAACTGTTCTTTAAACCCTAAAAGGCTTCCCATAGATCTCACTTGGCACTGCATATACAACCTTTGACAAGTAATGTAGACCATTTTTATTCATTGCCTAAAATTGTAGGCAATTATGTGCGTCACACTGGCCACCTGCAAATTCTGAATGCCTGCTCCAGTTGTCAGTGCAAAAAACTAATGTCGGAGGGGATTAATCTAGGGGGAGAGAGTCCTCTTTAATGGCTCCAGCAGGTGAAATGGCCCAGCTGGTTACTATGATGAGTGGCCAGAACAGCTTATGTAGAAACACGCAACAAGATTGTACAAAAGAAGGAGAAAACAGTGGTACCATCTTATATTTGGTTCCATTAGTTTTTTCAATTAAAGAAAGGACAAAAGAAAAGCCAAACCAAAAATAAGAAAGAGAATTAAATTTTAATCCTATAAAAAGTGTAAAATACTTTTGTAACTATAAATATTTTTACAAAACCAAAGGGCCTCAATAAATACTGATCACTAGTGAAGGAATTTTTGTATTTCTCTTTCATTTTAAATTAACTACACCATTACTTCAGACACAGAAATCCTGTAATAAAAGCTTTTCTCTTACATCAACATGTTATATTACAAATTAGGAGCACTCAAATTTCAATGAAATAGAATTAGCTCATAATTAAAGTTCTCAAGCCACATTCACACCTTTTTAGAAAAATTTATAAATTATAACCAAGTTTTTGAACAATTGAAAGTAAAAATATTTCAAAGCTTAAAATACTGCATTTTGCACCCAAAGCTCTCTTAGTTATCCCACAAAAGATTTCATGGCCAAGAAAAGACTACCTCAGATTTATAAAAGATGTCAATTTTACTGAAGGCAAATCCAAAATAGATTGCCCTCAGGTAAGATTTTATATAAATGATCACTATATGGTATAGTTGCAATATGCTCTGTTTCTTACATAAAGTAAAAATTAATTTTAATTTTAACAAAAAATTAAAAGATCATGTCATATTTCTTACTGTGATAAACTTCTAAACAGGTGAAAGAAAACATCTAAACTTCTTTGTGTGTAACACTTAAATGGGTTGACCACATTTCTTTTTCTTATGCGTCTATGTATAAACACATATATTAATGGTTAGAATAATAAAAGGTTTCAGTCCACTGAATCTGGTTAACCAAAAAAATAATCTAATACATATACATTTTTAACAAATTAGAATACAATAAAAACATAAATAATCCTTGATGTATCATAACTTACTTTAGGATTTTATATTTCTTAATTATCATATATAAAAGTACAGATGTAGGAGTAGTAATAAACTGGACTACTCTGATAAGTTTAACAAATTCCTCATTTTCAAAATAAATTTCTTATATGACAGAGATCATGCAAAAAATTCCTGGTCATTTGAACTTTTTGGTTAAATTGCAGTGATACCAGTTGACTAAATCCAGGGAAAACAGCTTAAAATTTAAGTGTGGGAACAAATCCTAGGTCTACTACTTAACAGGTCTGTGGTCTATTCATTGATAAAATGCAACTGATGATGTTATCTACCTCCAGAGAGTTGTGAAGATCAACGAGATAATGCACAGTTCCTGACAGAGAGTAAGTTCTCAACAAATGTGAGTTGTTGCCACTATTATTATTCTTGAAAGGTTAAATATCAGTGATATCACAAAATGGCAATAATTCTCTTGGGTGCTTTAAATCTCTTTCAAAGCACATATACATCTCCTCCAATCTGAATAATTGTCCATTAGTGTTTTTTTTCAAATTTCTGAAAGTTACCATCAATATTGGCTTTCTTAGTGAAATATCAAGTCAGGCATCTAGTCTTAATATTCTACAAGAACTAGATTTTGCCGAACAATTACCGTTTAACTGCAAATAAATTTGATCCAAACTTGAATACCTGTTGGCTGCTTTGACCCTTAGTGATGGCCTCATACTTAACTTTAGAAACATTCCTTTCTTCATGTATTTCATTATTATTGCCATTGCTAATAGCAAGCTGTCATATACTCAGACTCAGGGAGGTTGTCTGACTTGCCTAAATCCTCACAGCTATTAAGGGGCAGAGCTGAGATTCGAATGCAGATCTAAGTGACTTGAAAGTTCATTCTCAGCCCGATCACCCTGGCTTGTTTGTCTTCTTTACTGCCTTTCTAATAGCTACTTGTTTAGCCTATACATTCCTAAGTCCTTATTCTCATTCCAAGGTCATCAGAAAAATTCAATATTCTTATTTTTATTATTTGAGTACAAGAACAAATTGTCAATTCATATATCACAAATGTATTTTTCTTTGCACACAATAACATAATAATCCAGTATAAATTTCCTTTCCTAGACTATTTAGTAGAGTTGTCTATTTTGGTATTCTTCAGTTCCCACAGAAGGGTTCCCCAACACCGTGAAGTTTATGTAAAGTTCTGTGTTTATGAGTCTTTGGGGGATGATGGCACATATCTTTCAAAACGCTTTTCAAAGGGATCCATGATCCAAAATTCCAAGAACTAAGGCTCTGTAATGAGTGACTCTGTGTCAATACTCAGATGCCTCAACAACAGCAAATTAAGTAAATGTTCTAGGTTCATGGACTCCCAGACCAGAAGTCCAGACACACTGACCCAAAACTTGCTACAGCCAGACCCTGCACTCAAAGTTCATCTATCCTGATCAATACTGTGCTGCAAAAAATACTACCCATTATAATGTATATTAATACAATTCCAGTTGAAATCATAACAGGTATGTTGGAGAACATAATTGAATATATCATTATTCTAAAAGAATGAACCGCTTGAAAATTAAAAAAAAATTTAAAGAGAAAAATATGTATGTGCCTTACTACATATTGAAATAAACCATAAAACTACAGTAATAAGAACAGTGTGACACTAGCACAAGACGAGAGGTATAGATTAGAGACAAGCTAACAAGCCATTTACTAGCGATTTACTAATACATTATGGGATATTCGTACAACAGGACACTTTTTATCCATCAAGACAAGATATATCGGTACGTACATTTGTATGGAAAAATGGTCAAAATACATTGCTAAGTGAAAAAAGTAGGTTCAGAACAATGTAATAAGGTTAAGAATATGGATTTTGGTGTCAAATAGATTTGGGTTCAAGTCTTGGCTCTGCCAATTTCTAGCTCTTTAATTTTGGGGAAGTTACTTAATCTCTCTAAGTTTGTTTCTGTAAAATGGGGATAATAATAATACCAATTCAGCATATGGTGACTGTGAGGATTAAATGAGAAAATACATGGTATAGCAACTGGACAGTTCCAGGTACACAGTAAATACTCAACAGATATTAACTATTATAATTTATGGTAAAATGCACAATGTGAATCCATTTCTGGTTTTGAAATTATGTAAAATAGATATACTCAAATAATGGAAGTAGATACATACCCACACCAAAATGTTGGTAATAAAATCTCTAGGTTAGATTGCAGAGAGGCTTTCCCTTTCTGACTTTTTTTAAAAAAACTATAATCTTTAACAAATAACTATCACTTCTATAATAGGAAAAAAAATAAAGGTATATTCATGAAGTGGGTGGAACAAGGGAGAGG